AATAGTGCCTGCTTTTTCAGAATTATTGTATTTTTTCATGTTTGACGCTTTTTTAATTCTTCGTCATCATAATCCTTGCAGCCAAAGCAATCCTTGCTGCAAAAATTATAGGAAAAAGGTAAAAGAGGAAATCATTAATCCAAAATAATGAGTATGAAAGACTAAGTAAAGTAGCATATTTAAAATTGTTATCCTGCTCTGTACTGCAGGTTTGTTGTTACAGTATATTAGACCCCTGCTGTTCTTGTATTTCAGTTATGGAGTAAACAATTGGTCAGGGCCCTGAGGGCGCTAGTAGGCCTGAATGGCCCTGACCCGCAGTTGTCCTCATAAAAATTCTGTGACTGACTGAAACAAATAAAAGTACTTCTGATATTGGCATAGCTTTATCTTTCACAATTCCTCCTTTGATAAATATTGTGAAACAAGCGTCTCTTATCCTTTAACCAATGAGAGCTGATTTTCTGATACAGTTTTGTCTGTGTGTTTACAAATTGTTCTTCTCGATGTTCTTTGTGAGAAAAAAATATTCTTCTCCCTACAAAAGTTTAAAGAAACTTAGTTCAGAGAGTAGCTGTGTTCTGTTTATATATGTGTTCTCTGAAATTATGAAATACTGGCACATTTTATCTGCCCTATACAGTGGATAGGCAATCCACTATACCTGGATAAAGTACTTTTTTTTTAAATGCCTGTTTCTTGTAGCATTGTTTAGACAGACATCCATAAACTCTTAAACCTACTCTGATTAGAAGTCAGTGAAGAATTTTAGAATAGATTCCACTTTTGCTATTGTGATTAAAGCTCTGCAGCATCCTAGCCTAGCTAATATCAGACAGACAAGTCAGATTTTGTCATATTTTCTTGTACTGTTATCTTGGTTTATACTGTATTGCAAAAAGTTAACTTTACATATGTAAAGCCTATAAAGCCTAAGAGACTGAAGAAGGCACCAGAACTAAAGCGTATATTGCTTTCAGAAAGGTTGTGAAAGAACTGGCAGATCAGTTCACTGTGTAAGCCGCGAGAGCTGGGTAAGCAGAGCGCCGTGTGGTACTGGGTTGCACAACAGAGGCTCTGTCTATCCAAAACAGACGAGGAAGTCTTTCCAAGAGTGGCCGCTTGCCTTGTCGGAACCTTTCCTCCGGCTTTGCAGAGCAGCTGTGCAAAGTGTTGTGCTTGATAGCCGCTCTTCATTCCAGCTGCAATTCAGCATGGTAGAAGTGAATATCTGTAGTTTATCAAAACACTTCATTGTAATGAAAAGTACCATATAAATGTGAGTTGTTATTTATGTAAACTAGCAGTTTATATAGAAAATTTAGATAAATATTCAGGAAGAAGGTGTTGGAGAGATCGATTTGCATCTTTTATTTCAGTCCAAAAAAAAAAAAAAAGCCCTAATGCAAAATTAAGAGAATATTTGCTTTGGGCATAACTTAAACACATTCCTAGAGGCTTCCCATCTGTGTGGGTGCAAAGCATATTAACAAACAATTTCCTGTAGTGACAATGAAAAATAATTTTTTTTATGTAGCGTTTTACACCTTTTTTCCTTTCCAGCTCATTGCTGTGCAAAAAGTGAATTTTGTCTTTATTTTCTCATATAACTTCAGCATGTAAATTGAAAATCTGAAAGTCACATTTATCATAAAGAATTGTGCTTGCTAGTTCTACATGTAAACAGTTAGACCATGCCAGATCTACAAAGTACAAGTGTCCTAGTTCATCACAGCTCTCCTTGGTTCATATCACTGTACCAGCAGAAGCACTGGTGTGGTTGCAGCTCTGCTGGCAAAAGAGACCTTTTTGTGAGCTTAGTGTTTGTCATTTAGTGAGATAGTTTAACTATGCTGAGAAAAACTTCCTTTACTGGTTTTGCAGTCAGAGCAATGCAGGCAAACTGCGAGCGCTCTGCAGTGTGGACAGATGGCCTAAGATTGATTTAAGGCAGAAAAGAAAATCAGGGTAAATGTTTTCCCCCTTATTTCACCGTTTGTAGCTAACTGTTCTTTTCTCTTGCAAAAGTACAATTGCAAAGTACTTTCAACATATGCATTCAGTAAAAAGAATGTTTACCCTTTGACTCCTGGAATATTTAAGGAATAGTGTTGCACACATGAATTAGGGGAGAAGTGTTCTTTTATCTGGCCATTGTTTTAAATATTAACCCTGAACCCTAAGAAAGTATTGATCACCTTCTACAAGAAGTCTTTCAGCAAGAGTACTTACCATTTTTCTCTCAGCTGTTGATAGCAAATGAAGTCTTTCTAGATCACCAGGAAAGATGATATCAAATTAGCTGAAAATAGATTTATAGTCATGAGAAATGACACTTTAGTTTACATAAACAAATTACAACTCTGGCTTGGTAGTGTGCCCCATCAGAAATGGGGCTTTGTCTTGGGCACTGTTTTGTTGACAGGTGTTTTGACAGTGTAGCACCGGGCAGCACACAGTCTTTAGGAAGGTAATACAAGGCTGTTTAGGATTTTACAGCTTAAGTTCTAGTACCCAGTAGTTAACTAATGCAGAGTCAGAAATAGTGGTGTCAAGGACTTTCCTACAGAAACAAACAGTCTGCCAGTGTCTTCATGAGAGTCGTTTCTTGATAGCGGTAGATAAACCTTCATTCATTAGGTGACAGGAGTTGACAGAAATTTACGTGATACCTATGTTTATAGGGTCTTCTAAAATAGTGACATGGTCATGCATCAGTGAGGTAGGCCACCAACCATGGGCATTTAGTAGTGGCAGAAAAAATGAGAGAGAAGTGAACAGGTAAAAAGGTCAGGATATAAAAGTGCATAGGCAGAAAGTGAAAAATAGAAGAAACAGTTATATTTGTGTTTATATTACTCTTGGGCCCTTCCAGCAGACTTAAATGTTTTGGGGAGAAAAAATTCTTTTACATGTTTTTTAAGGCAGTGATGAACAAGGAAAAAGACATGAAAAATCATAATTTTCCCTTGTATTTTCTATCAAAATATATTTAATTGGTTGATTTTATAAAATGCAAATTAGTTTGCGTTATTTCCATGCTATCTATTGCACTTGCCAATCTAGCATAGCATGTTATCCAGTCAGTGGAAAAAGTGCTACTGCAGTTGTAATTTTAATAAAGATCCTCTAAGATTAAGCTATGATAACTTGAATTATTTAATTATTATAGATATGAATTCTATAAATTTTAGAGTTTTTTAAATGGTATGTTACGTAAAGTTTTTTTCTTAGTGTTTGAGAAATAATAAGTATCTGTTTTGTTTTTCTTTTTCAATAGAAAAAACAAAAAAATATTTTGCGAATGGGAATTCAGAGTCTGGGTACCATGTTGTGGGGTGATGATATTTGTAATACTGATAAACCGGAAGATGCTCACAGCCTTACAAAATTTCTCTATGTTCTCCGTGGCCTCCTCAGAAAATCTTTGTCAGCCTGCATCATCACAGTGCCTGCTCATCTCATCCAGGTAGGAAAGCTATCTTTACTATATTCCATAGTTGACGCTAAATGGGTTAAGAAAATAAGTCCAGTTTTAGGCATTCTGAAAACTCTTTGTGTTCTAAGGGCAAAGGTAAAACATCTCTGTATTCTTTCTATACTTTTGTGGGACAGTCTTGCGCATCAAAATCTAGTAAGACATAAGATAAATACAGTTGTTTCTTTTGTGGGTCTTAGTCTATTTTTAAAAGAGATTAAAATTTCAGAAACTGTAAAAAAAAAAAAAAGGAGAGAAAATTGTTGTTGTCGTTGCTGTTGTTGTTGTTGTTGTTGTTGTTGTTGTTGTTGTTGTTGTTGTTGTTGTTGTTGTTGTTGTTGTTGTTGTTTTAAACAGCCAATGTCCCCACCCACTTTTCCACTGGCTTCAGAACGCAGTTTGGAGTCTCAATACAAGACATTTTAGTCCCTGTCTTAAATTGTCATGTTCATCGTGCTGATGACTAATCTTGTCTTTAAAGCCAGGAACTGAGAGATATAGGTTTACTCTTTAATTCAGATATGCTTCTTTATTGAGGCCTGGGATAAATCAGTTATGGTATAAGAGTAATTTTCCCAACTGTAAAATCAAAAGCTGCTAACAACAGCTTTCCTGAGAAAGTTTGTCTTTCGGAAATCAACATTTTTAGATACTTGTTTCTCTGCAAGTGGTAATGTAACTTATAAAAGCAAAATTATTATTCACAATGAGCAGAGAACCTATAACTTTAGTTATTAATTTGGTTACAATAAAGTAGTATTGGATGAGACCTTGCAAAATCTTTTCATAGTAGATGAAAGTTTTTCATCATCCTCACATACGTATTGCATTTTTAAAGGTGTTTGAATATCTGCAAATGTTATCTATCTAGATACCTGACTCCCTTATTACTTCTAAAATGCAGAGAGGAACTTGATTTTCTTGTTTTACCATTGGGATCAAAAGTATATGAATATTGCTCTTGAAAATATCTTTCAGTGCAAACTTCAGTCTCCTTACTGAACTGTTTTTAATATAAGCTGACATTATTCCTTCAGAAAGATGGATAGCAAAATTTAATGCAAACTTGTGAGTATAAAACTAGCTTCCACCTTTTTACAAATTGGTATTACCTGTCTGTATCTGGGACGTACAGTCTGTTTCAGTGTATTCTTACTGGCAAATTATGTCGATAAAAGAGGTGATCGTATTTTAGAGAAGAACTCTAGAAGTACCTCTGAGCAGGTTTCTAAGCAAGAGCAGACTGAAGCATAAAGTTTTGTTTGTCTTAAACTTACCTGGGAAGTTGTTTTTGTTTTTATCGATTCCATATAAATCAGTTCTGACAGAGTTAGGATTGAAATTAAATCTCTCTTTTAAAATATAACTTTTATTTTTGAATTTTAGCAGAATTGTTCTGCAGTAAGTGCTAGAACATACTGAAGGGGAGGGGGAGGGATACAGTATTTCCAGAATCTTTGCTTAGCAGCCTTAAACAAATGAGAGTATTAAATATTTTGTTGAAATTGTTATACTTCATGTATCCTTCTTTAAGCACTAAGCACTGGCGAAAACTGTCATTAGGAGGAGCAAAGCTGCTTGAGGGTTCCTCATACCCCACATTACTCGGTTCCCAGAGCCCTGCTGTGTAGTTGTTGCGCTCTCCAAGAAGCCTGTTAAAGAGCCCCTGAGAGCATGTGTACAGCCCTCCGCGTTAATAGTTAATTGGTGAGGATGGCGAGATGAGAGGACAGCCGAACATGTGGTCTCTCAGGCGCAGGCCCTCGACAGACCTTTAGTCAGAACAGCAGCAGCTGCTCGCATTCTCACAGCCCAGCTACTCCCCACTCTGTTGCTGAGGTGTCTTACTGGATTAAAAAGTAAAGGAAGTATTTTTTCTTTACTAGAGAATGAGAGGGGCTGGTTGGTTGGTTTCTTTGTTTGTTTTGTTTTCCCAAGTGCATTTCTGCACTTATTTGTATTTAATTTGATCAAAGTAAGTTCTAGCATGTGCTTTCTCTGTTGAATCTTAAAGTCAGTCAGGACACCAAAAGCATAGAAAATGCTCGCTATTTTTCTGAAAGTGTAGTAAATTTCACATTTCTTCCCTGAACCATTATTTCTGTATCTGCTACATTATCGTTTGCTTCTCAACTGTTTTAATTAGTTGGTCTGCAAGCAAGATCTTCATATGAATAATTTCCATGAAAATAAATGTAAAATAACTTCAAAACCCAAGTATAAACAAGGTTTTATGGCTACACCATGAGCATAAATGTGCAAAAATAGTTGTGCTTTTACATGCTTTGTCTTGAAAAAATAGATTTTTAGTAGTGACCGCCACCAGTGCTCGTTGCTTCACTGAAGAAGGTATAAAACTCATAGTTGACAGTACTCATTTTCAATAGGACAGTACCTTTGCAACCCCAGTACCTTTGTTTGTAATTTCCAACCCAATGACTTATCTGTAGTATGAATTACATTCTCCTATGAATAATATCTTTATCTATATATCCAGTCTCAGAATATATATGTATATATGCACACATAAACATACGTGTATATATATATATGTTTATAAAAATTTCAAACTATCAATAGATAGAAAGAGAGAGTTTGAGACTGGATTCTTTTATATATTTTGACAAGCATTCTCATGTTGTTGTGTGACAGTGAGTTCCACAAATTAAATATGTATGGTTTATTTCTTTTTCATAACATTTTATTTTGCCTTTATATTTCGTAAATTATATCTTTGTTCTTGGATGATGAAACTTTAGGTGGGACTCCTTATTTTCTTCTCTGCATCCTGATTGTTTTTTTATGTGTTGTTTTTTCATGCTGCCTCCTTAATCTGTTTTTAAATTGTCACAATTTTTTCAGCCAGGCTTCACTTTGTTATAGTAAGCTAATAAAGTAATGTTATTACAGTTTGCTCGTATTTCCCGCGTTCCAGTGTATGCTTTGTCTCTTTGATCACTGCTCAACATTGAACAGTGATTTTATTCTTAATGCTTTTCCCCCCATGGTACACATCTACTAGTGTATTGGAATAGCTCTAATATTATTCCAGCTATTCATTGTCTTGGATTTAGTAAGTTTGAATTGCATCTATCCGAATATTATGCTCATTCACCCAGTTTGATGGGACACTGAACGTCTTCACAGTCTTCTCTAAGGCTGTGTACTGGTTAAGATACAAGACACAAATTTATGAAGAGTCTGGTTGTGTACAGATTTTTTTCAGAATAATTTAAAGAAAAGGTCGTCCACTAAAGAACACAGATTCTTTGTATGTTGTTGATGAAACTTCTAGTGTAAATAGTGCATGAGGGAAAAAGAAAATTCTCTTTTTCTCAACTGAAATAAAATCAGGAACGTAGTATTCTGGAAGAGGATTTCAAGGATTTCACTGAAAACTTATCCAATTATAAATTTTACGCACATGATGTGTGACAAGTTTTACTTGATTGATATTTTCTACCGATTGAATGTACTCTTATCTTACCCTGTCTGTCAGTTAATAAATATTGAGATACTTATGAATGTGATTAAAATAGTTGATGGAAGGTTATTTTTCAAATCTTTCTACCGCCTCTTGAAAATGCATTGTGCCTATAAAATGAGCTTGTGCATTGAAAAAGGGAAAATTACTTCAATTTTTAAACCAAGCATTGATCAAGGAGAGCAAATTGACGGTGGATTTGTTTTGTTGTTACACTTTCCGAATGTAAAGAATGTTATAAAAACAAATAAGGGTTTTTTTCTGTATTTTGATAATCTGCTCATTTAAATACCCAACTGAAAAAAAGTTTTTGTGCTATAGCATGTGACTTAAAGGACTTTAACATCACAGTTGGGTATTTGCAAAAGCACTAAATTAGAATTTTAAGTATTTCCTATTATTTTTTCTTCTGTTTTTCTTGATTTACTAAAAATTATTTAGTTACTTTATCATACTTACAATATATACAATAAGAACATTTATATTTTTATTGGAGGAAAGCGAATCTCTTTTATGAAAGCCATCCTTTCTTTTGAACATGAAGCTATATTACTGGTAAGGACTAACAACTATATTTGTCAGCATGTACCAAGGGAAATTAATAGACTAATGAAAAGTCAGTATGAATAAGCCTTGTTACAGTACTTCTCCTCAGAGTCTGAAGTTCTGTTTAGCAAGGTATTTTCATTATTTCATGCAATATGTTTAAAAATTAATTTCCTACAATATTAATGTTTTGATGCTCTGAATTCACTGAAGTGCATGACTGACTGTATGTTTCAGTGTAGAAAAATTCAGAAACAAACCTTTTCACATCCATAGCCTTTTGTGTTCACGCTGAGTAATTTAGCAGCCAAACTCGAAGTCAAGCTATAGTGTTTTAGAATCCATTGCTAATATAGGATTATGAGATATGAACTCCTATAGCTTGTGAATGTCTCACAGTTTGAAATCTTTGTTCTTGCAACAAGAGTTAAGAGTAATTGCATGCCCTAGAACTCTAACTTCTCAGAGTTTACAAGCATAAAATGCTGAATAACTTTCAGATGTATCTGATGATATAGCCATTATATACGAATTTGTATCGAGATCAAGTGTCATGTAGTTTATCATAGTTAAGCAAGCTTTTGAAATCCTCTGCAAAATAGAATCTATGAAGATGAAATTGTCTTTATGTTTTCCTATATTGGAGTTTGCTTCTTGCTTTTTAACATTGCATACATAATCACATGTAAGAAATCTGGCTTAACAACCATACGAAGAAACACTGAGTCATGAGTTTATGACGGCGCAGAGAATATACAATTTAAAATTTAAGTTGTGTGACAGTAAATCATTTTGTTTTCAATTTCTGTTATTATGGACAATATTTGCTAACCAAGTTGCAGAAGAAATAGAATTATTTTATTGTTTAGTTAATTGTTATGACTACTAACAGGCTGTAATCTGACCCTACCATTTCTGATTTGGTAGCAACGACCCATTTTAAAAACAAATACAATGTGCA